TGCAAATTCAGCAGAAAATGGCCCAAATCTCCAACCCCCGTTGGCGAGCCTTGCCTCAGGCTGGGCAGCCCCGGACAGCCGTTAAATCCGGGCTGGTCCCTGCCTGGGCTGTAACTGGCCGCTTGCCCGGAGCGCCTCGGCTCTGCTAGGGAGCGCCCTGGCTTTGCTGGCTACGGGGCTCTCAGCTCGGCCAGCTCATCTATGGCCTGGACGCTAACGAGCGGCAGATAACGAGGCATCCTCCACTCTGGTTTTCCGATACAAAGCACAGGCTCAAGGTTTCCACGCGTCTCCCTGGGATTTGGGTACCTCCGCAGCCCCGAAGCCCCCGAGCCGGCGGTGCTCAACGGCAGCGCTGCGCTCCAGAGCCGAGCTGCAGCTATGTTTTAAGTTGAGGCTGAATGCATAGATATCCGCCCCAAATGTCACCCGGCAATCCGGCTCGGAGGCCTCCGAAGGGCTTGGTTTTCTGCAGCTTCCAAATAGTTGCAACATGCCACGTTTTGCGTTTTATGCATGGGGGAGGAAAGAAGTCGTCCCAGGGCTCATTTTTAAACTGCAAATTTGTCTTTATTTTTAAATCTTAAAATGTGCACTCCGAGGAGCAATTGGGGGCCCTTTCAGATGTACTGAAATCCTTCTCGCTGTTTAACGTGCAGCTAACGCTTTCTCCTGGAAGCGTGCTGCAAGCATCGAGACAAAGAATTATTTTAGCAGCGAAAGTCCCCAGACTCCCGTTGAGTTTGAGGCTTGCAGCAGGAGGAGCGGCCGTGCACGGCTGAGTTACTCTCCCTCCTATTCACGCTTGCAGGGAAGATAAGGCGTGTTTAAACAGGAGCAGAAGCCCTTCGGTTTCCAGCGGTCTGAAAAATGCCCATCTGGAAAGTTTCTGTTCCTGCACTGGGTTGGGTCTGAGCTTCAGCGTACCCGGGTTCGTCTTTGTTCCTTTGCCGTGTGCCCGATTCTGCCTTGCTCACGTTGGTGCAAACCGGGACGTGCACCGAAGCCCACTGGCGCGCTCCCAACACGCACAGCGATTTACACCCTGCGTGAGCGAGGCAGGATCCGTGCGCGGGCCTGGGAAAATTAAGAGCGGCGTGAAACGAGGCCTGCTAGGTAATGAACGGGTTTCACAGCTGC